CCTTGAACTCACTGTGAAGCCCAGGCTGGCCTCAAACTCATGACTATCTTCCTGCCTCAGCCTCCCGAGTGCTAGGATTACAGGCATATGTCACCACGTTTAGCCTCCCACCCCATTTCAGTAAATTAGTACCTGCAAAGAATAACCATCAAGAGATGAATTTTATACATTTATGATTTTTGCTTTTACTACTGTTCAGAGTAATTTTGGTAGCTGGGTGTGGTGGAACAGGCCTTCAGTCTTAGTGTTCTGGGAGGCTGAGTCAGGAGGATCACAGGGTTCAAGCCTAGCCTGGACAGTTTACCAACTTGGGAAGACTGTCTCAGAATGAAAAATAAAGTGTGAAGGGCCTGGGTTAAACCTCCAGTACACAGGGGTGAGGGGGAGAACACTGAGCCCCAGACCCATGTCTGCCTATGACACGTGCTGAGACTGCAGGCTTTGGAAGTGTGAGCAGCTGAGCAAAAAGGCCAGAAGGTTGTGACCAAGGCAAATGGCGCAGACACTGGGTGGGGCCTGGGTACCAGAGCCTGAAGTACTTGTGGCCTTATGCCTGTGCGTCACACCTCTCCTTTACCACAAGCTCAGCTGGAGGGGTGATCAAGGGGACACATTTAACCCCAGTGGGGAGAGAGTACCTGCTGGGTTGGTTTTAGTATTAATCATATCATAGCCAGACATGGTGATATATGGGTATGGTCCTAGAACTCTGGGAGGCTGAGGCAGGAGAACTGCAAATCCAAGTCCAGCCTGAGCAACTTAATAACTTAAGGGGACCCTATCTCTGAATTTACAAAGGGCCAGGGATATAGTGCAGAGTAAAGGTCCTGGATTCAAAGCCCAGTACCACAAAAAGAAAAAAGTAATATTCACCTAATTTCCTCAATAATCCGCACTTTTCAGTTTTTGGCCTTCAAGTTGAGATGCACCATGAACTTAAAATTTACAGTGGTAGAACATGCACAGCAGCAGCCCAGCCACTGTCTCTGCCCCTTCCTCCCCCATAGAGGGTCCCAAAGCAGAAAAACAGACCTATTTGGAAGAAAGAAATACATTAGAAGACACTGCCAGCTTCTGTCCAAAGAAAGAGAAAGTGAACAAACATCTTTCAGAGATACAAATCCCAGGCAAGACCAGAAAGTGGACTTTTGCAGCTCCTTCCCCAAACTCTTTAAAAATAAAAATGGGAACGCAACTGGTGAAGATTTCTGTGGTCCTTGGAACTGATGGTGACATCAAAGCTTTCCCATTTCCAGGTCCAGTGGATCAGAATACAGGAGAAAAAACTAATGAGACTCCCTCAGTGGATCCTTCACCTACAAAACAAGATTTCTTCAGAAACCAATTTGCTCTTGCAAATTACCTTGACCAAGGAACAGCTGTGTAAAACATACTTAAAGTTGTATTCTCGAGTGGTAAGATGTGGGTAAAAAGCTTGTATGTATCTGTGTAGGAAAAAAATATGTATAGAGAGATGTATAAATCCCTGAGGAAAATTAATATACATACATATGAAAGTAAATCAACACACAAGACATTGAAGAGATGAAAATTAGTCTAAGGTTAAGATGTGATTTCAAACTTCACTTGGGAAAAGGGAAATGAAGATTTTTTTCACATCGTTATAGAAAAGCACAATAAATTTGGTTGGATTAACATTGTTTTTTGTTGTTGTTTTTGTTTTTGTTTTTTTGGTACCAGGGATCAAACTTGGGTCCTTGTGCTTGCAAGGCAGGTGGCAGAACCACTGAGCTAAATCCCCAGCCCTAAACACAATAAATTTGGAGAAAAAGTAAATGTTTATAAGAACAGCAGCAACAACAAAACTTGCAGTGGTGTCCAGAGTATCTCATTGGATGAGCTGGAGTCCCAGAAGACACTGCCTGGCTCAGCCATCTCCATCTCTGTGGACTGAGCTCTACTTTACTGGCCTCCTTGAGCATGCAGTGCTCAGGCAGGTGACGAAATCCCAGGAGGAGCCTTTCCCAGCCATTGTCTCCAGGCTTGGGTTGTGGGCTCATTTGTGCTTCGATGGAGAGTATTCAGTGTTGAGGCTCGGGGATAAGGGTCCCTCACACCTTCTTAGGGCGGTGCAGGTGTGTGTGCATGTGCTTGTCCCTCACAGTGTGGGCAGTGTCAGCTTCGCCTTCAGGCCTTGCTTGGCATTGGGATCTGCAGTTACAAAGGACCTCAGAGATTGGACTTTAGTGTCTCCGGGTTTGTTTTTGTACCTGTGCATATGTGCACTTGGAGTCCCAGGCCATCGATCTCTGCCTTTTATGCCAGGTTCCTTTCTTTTGTGCTGTTCGGGGACTTGGAGTGTAGCTCAGGATGTCCAGAGATGCAGGCACCAGTGCAGCTTATTATTGGCCTCAGAGGACTCAGTGATGTGTTGCACATAAACTAAATGAGAACAGCTTTTTTCAAATGTTTTTCTTCACAGCTGGGCTCCGCTGTGCCTGCTTGTAATAGCATGTTGGAAGGGTGTCGTGGGGGATGCCCATTGTGAGTGACTGAGTGAGATCCTATTTCAAAATAAAAAAAGTAAAATAAAACCAGGATGGAGATGTAGCTCAGTGTGAGGAACCTGGGTTCAATACCCAGTCCCAAAAAAGGAAAAAAAGTGATTTTTATGCAAGTGTTTGGGTTTCCTGTGTGGTAGGTAGTGGGGTGTTTTTCTGCTGCTTCCTCACCCGTCTGTGGAGATCCCAGTGTGTGTCGTTGGCATTGATGAATAGCAGGCTGTCAGGGGTCTCTGGTCATAAGCAGTACTCACTGAATGTGCTCTGTGGTGGCAGCATGGGGCCAGGTGTGTCTCCTAAGCATGTGTCTAGAGAGAGGTGTGTGGCTTGCCCAGTGTCCATGCTTTTCACCTACAGGGCACTGGAGGTTTCTTCACTGTCCACCATGGAAGTGAGCAGCACTGTGTCCAGTGGTGCATCTGAGTTTGTCTTTCCTTCTGTGTCATCATGTTGGTTCGCTGTTCCCCAGACAGGGACCATTTTCCTGCTGTGTGCACTGTGATGTAGAGCTGTGCATTAAACAGGCCGCACTTCCCCGTGCTGTGCTGCACCGTGGAAGAGAGTGGCTTGTAAACCTTTGAATTCACTCAGTGGGATAAGGAATAGCATCTGCATGTTTCTTTCTCTTGTGAGTGAGGTTGGGCCTTTTTGGTTTTTTTTTTTAAACTTGAACTTGAATACAAGACCTTCATTCCTGACTCCTTTCTTTCCTTTCTTTCCTTTCTTTCCTTTCTTGCCTGCCTGCCTGCCTGCCTGCCTGCCTTCCTTCCTTCCTTCCTTCCTTTCTTTCTTTCTTTCTTTCTTCTCGGTAAGTTGCTCAGGCTGGGCTCAAACTTGGTATTGTCCTACCTCTGCCTCCCAGAGTGCTGGGATTATAGGCATGCTGCAACATGCCCAGTTGGGCATCTTTTCAGAGTATGAATAATGGTCATATGCTTTAGTCGCAGTGGGGCTGTATGAGTCCATTGTGGGACAATCCTATGCTGCCTATCGGTGTCAAAAGGTGTCCCTGCTTTTGCCAATAGAACTATCACCTACAGCCAAATGTGTTTCAGATATTTACAGATAGCCCAAATTACAATAAAAGCATTTGGAGAATCTTTATACAGTGGTGTGCCCCCCGCATTTCTTACTTTTTGTTTGCCTCTTTCCAAGCTGGGTCTCAGACCTGGTGCCTCCTGTGAGCTCTTTGAGTGCCCTGCCTCTGGGCTGCCTCCCTGCCTTAGTGCTTGTCTCCATCCTGTGTGGTGCTGGTGCTGGTGTGGGAGAGTTGAGAGGCTGTTGGATGGAGGTGCCCCTGAGCCCTTAGGGCTCCTTTCAGAGAAAAATACAGAGCTGGAAGGGGAAGTTGTTAAGTAGTACACTTTGAACTGAAGAACAACCTGCCTCCCGTACCAAACTAACTTGGTTGTGTGTAATCTGTGTGGGAGATTTAAAACTGGCTGACACTGACCTCACAGCAGGTATCAGGTCTGCAGTTGACCTCTCCTCTTGGTCAGGCTGCCCCTGTTGCTTGGGCTGCTCCTTGTCCACATTGTCAGTCAGCCTGGGCTCCATGCTTTCCTAGGATATCAGATATACACAGGGGCAGTGTCCACATATGCACCTGCTGGGTCATGGGTAAGCAGCTACAGCTGTTCTGGCTTCTTGCCCTTCTCATGCCCCTCCTGTGTGTGCTCAGTCTGGGGTTGCCTGGGCAGTGTCACGAGCCACTGGAACACTCATGGGAGAGTATCCTGGTGGGTGACTCAGGCTGGCAGCTGCTGTAGCAAACAACAAACTTCAACAGGTTTCTTAGTTCACCTGTGAACCAGGATATTGGTAAGGTGAAAGAAATGTCCTCACATCCAAGTGGTGGTCAGTCCTTCTGGCTGGGGAGGAACAGCGTTAAACAGCTGCGGTGTTCACATGTCATCTAACAGCAGATACTGGTGTTTTTCTTGGTACTGGGCATCGAACTCAGAACCTTGCACTTTCAAGGCAGCAACAGTGCCACTGAGCTAAATCTCCAGCCCCAGCAGATTGTTTTGATTGGTTTCACTTGCTGTGTAATTTTTTTCCAGTCTTTTTGTTTTGTTTTTTAAGACAGTATCTACCTATGTAGCTTGGGTTGGCCTCTCTTCATGATCCTTCTACCTCAGTCTCCCGAGTGCTGGGATTATAGGTGAGCACCACCATGCCCAGCTATACTTGTCAAAAATTTTTTTAAATATTTAAAGTTATAATAAAAATTAAGCACACACCTATAATCTCAGCACTCAAGAGGTTGAGGCAGAAGGATTGGCAAGAATTCAAGGCCAGCCAGAATTATACAGCAAAACCCATCTCAAAAACAAAAAAATAAACAAAAATAAAAACTTAAAAAACATCTGATATTAATATCAATAAAGTTATTCTGTCCATTTTCAGCTCATGGTTTGGGAGCCTTGTGTCTATCTTACCCAGCTGTGATGCTCTTTCTCCTTTTGTGTCTTCCAGCAAGCGAGGATTCAGCGTCCGGTCCTTTGGAACAGGAACTCACGTGAAGCTCCCAGGACCTGCACCCGACAAGCCCAATGTCTATGATTTCAAAACCACATATGACCAGATGTACAATGACCTTCTCAGGAAAGACAAAGAACTGTATCCCAAGGCTGCCCCTAGAGTGCCCAGAGGGTCTTCTGGCAGGTGTGGTCTGTGCCTGGCGTGCCCGCCTCTGCTCTGCAGGGAGGTGCTCTGGGTGACAGGGGCGTGGGCGTGGTGTGCTGATGCAAACACTGTCTCTGTGTTCACCGGCACTTGGTGTCCTTCCTACTGCCCACTGGATAGCCCCAGGGCCAGATCCATTTGTGGCAGTGGGGGTGTAAAACGATAAATGGCAGGCACAAATGGGAACCCTACACTAACACAGTCAGGCAGAGGTGCTGATGATTAGTTGGGGGCTTGCAGGGGCTAAAGAAAAGGAAAGCACAGAGAGCTGTGCTTGTCCCTCTGCAGGGCGGTGCATGGAGCTCTGACACGATGGGCTGTGCCCACACGGGGTCTGTGAGAGCCAGATGAAGAAAGCCGGGTCTGTCACCAGAGAGTGTGATGGAAGCAAGTAATCAGGAGGAGATAAAACAGTCCAGGTCTGCTACTTAAGACTCATATGAGAAGGAAAGGTATTTTAAAAATAGCCTTCTCTGACTGTGAAATGTATTTCCTGTAAGTCATGTATTTCATGATCACTTCCATACAAATTAAAACTTCCGTGCTGGGGCTGTAGCCCAGTGGATGTGTGGATGAGGCGCTGAGTTTAGTTTCTAGCACTGCAAACAAAACAAAACAAACCCTGGGCCACCTTGTGCTTTGTCGTAATCAGAATGAAAATCAAACATACATCAAACGGGAAATGGTTTGTTTTCACTTTGGCAATTTCTTTTGTTCGTTTGTTTTGTTTTTGAGACAGGGTCTCACTATACAGTTGAGGCTAGCCTTGAACTCACTGTGTAGCCCAGGCTGACCCTAAACTCAAAGCAATCCTCTTGCCTCAGCCTTCTGAGTGCTAGGATTATAGGTGTGCACCACCACTTCTGATACTTTGGCAGTTTTGCAATTTTTAATGAAAATGAAGTTGGACATAGTGGTATGTGCCAGTAGTTCCACCTACTCCAGAGGTTGAGGCAGGATGACCCCAAGTTTAAGATCAGCTTGGACAACTTAGCAAGATTCTGTCTCAAAATAAAAGTAGTGTTTAAAAAAACTGAAAATGTCTTTGGATATACATTGGTTAATTAGGTAGTACGGAAGGCCCTGATGGTGATTCTAGCAAAATGTAAACCCTAATGGTCAGGCATCTTCTGCCCTCCCTTGTGTTCCTCCCTGAGCTGCACATGGGATGCTGTTGAGGACCTGGGTATTAATGTGGATGTTTCCTGTCAGCACCTGCTGCTGGTGGGGCATGCTAGAAGCCTGAGTCCAGACTGCAGTGCCCCTAACACCGGTCCGGCTGGCTGTTCCCTGGGGACCTCATCCCAGTTTGGGAGCCAGGGCCTGTGTTGGGGAAGATGTCCCTGTAGCCAGTGGTGCTGTGTACTGGACACATTGAGGCTCTGCTCCCATGATGGCTGAGCCACAGCATGGACACTTCTGCCTGAAATCCACTCTACTGAGAGTGTGCCCCACACTTTGCTTCCTTCTGTTCCCTAGCTTCACAGCCATAAAATCCTTTTCTGAGAATCTCATTTGGGGGCTAAGTGCTTCCTTTAGCACTGGAAAAAACTCAAGGAAGAAAGAAAATGAAAATCATTCTTCAGTTAGTATGTGTGCTGCCGAAGTGAGCACATCATTCTTCGGTTAGTAGCATTAAACCTAGGCTTTTGCACTGAACTACGTTCCCAGACCACCCCGTTTGAATTTCAAGACAGGGTTTCACTAGGTCACTTAAGTTGGTTGCCTAGGGTGGGCCCAAACTTAATCCTCTCACCTCAGCCTCCTACATGGCTAGGATTATAGCCACATATGGCTGGTACCATTCAGTTTTGTTGTGTTGTGTTTTTTTGTTTTGTTTTTTGTTTTTTTGAGACATGGTCTCACTATGTAGTTGAGATTGACCTGGAACTCACTATGTAGCCCAGGCTGGTCTCGAACTCACAGTGATCCTCCTGCCTCAGCCTCCCGAATGCTGGGATTACAGGCGTGTGCCACCATGCCCGGCTTGTTGTGTTGTGTTTTTGAGATGGGGTCTCCCTATGTAGTTCAGGCTGGCCTTGAACTCACTATGTAGCCCAGGCTGGCCTCAAACTTGCAGCAGTCTTTCAGCCTCCCAAGTGCTGAGATGAGAGGTGTGTGCCATCACACCCAGCTGTTGTACCATTCAGTTTGGAAGCTCTTATACTCCATAAGAGAAATAAAAACAGGTCATAGTGTATAGGTTGATACTTCCTTGATACTGTAAACCAAGTCTTTTCATCCACCACTAGCCTCCATTTCTGGGTGGGACAGCACTTACTTACTAGAATCAGCAGTCAGACTGGAGGGATCTGCTGAGGGAGATGATGATGCCCAGGTGGTTCTCCAAGGAGTTGTGGCCGGTGCCTGGGATTCAGAACCCTTCACCATGTGGCTCCACACAGTGGCTCCCCACATGCATCAGTCTGTCCAGAAGCACCTACACTGTGCACATCTGGGTACTTGGTGGCTGTGGGGACCTGGAGGAGCTGGTGGTTGGCTTGGAAGCTTAGTGACTAAATCACCCATAGTGTTTGCCTCTTGGCAATGCTGTCAGAGGCTCTGAGGTGGCACCTTTGCTGGCTTCTTCACAGAGCTCAGCCTCGGGGTAGGGCTTCTTCATGGAGCCAGGAAGTGCTTAGCTACCCTGATCCCAACCCTGACCTTGGCCAGCAGAAGAAGGCATCTCTAGGGAGCTCACTGGGTATGGCAGGCAGCCTGGCTAGGTGAGGGCACCATGTAGGTTCAAGCAAGCCCCACAGAGGGATGGAGGCGGGCAGTGGCTGGGTGGTGCCCCTTTGTGGCCGTGCAGGAGGACACCTGCGGCTGCTTGGAGTGCAGCTCCAACAGGAGTCCACCAAAAGCATTACTTGGCGTACACATGAGAACCGAGAATTTGCAAATTTTTTAATAGATTAACTCATGGTATATAAAAATGATGGTTATTATAATCTGTACTAGAAAGAAAAGGTGATATTTTAAAAATTATTTTAAATTTTGAGCCAAGTTCTTGCTAAATGGCCCAAGCTAGTGTTTAACTTGGAATCCTCCTTCCTCAGCCTTCGAGAAGCTGGGATTACAAGTGTGCACTGTCACACCTGGCATTCGGAGGAGTTTTTGAATGTAACTCAAAGATAAAATGTGGAGTACTGTGAATTTCAACATTATGAGGTGCT